GGGATTGACTGGTCACTAGGACAAATAGAGAAGGTGAGTCTCCTAAAGGGGACAGAGACAGCAATAAAAAACAGGCAGGTGTTCTAATCCCTCCCCATCCGATCCAAAACTAAAGTAACCTAAAAAAAAATGTGTGGACAGATATAGGAAGGACAGTCCACTCAGAAATTATATTTTTGTTAAATGTGGGACAGTTAAACCACCTGATCATTTCTCTCATCCAGTGGCGGAACTATTGACATAGCAACCCAGACGGCCGCTATGGGGCCAGGGGCACAGGGGGGCCCGGCCAGGACAAGGAACAAAACGGTCCCCCTGATGCCGTGCGGGCTGCCTCGGTCCGGCTCCAGGACTTTCACTGTGAGGAGGAATGCGCCGCTGTCCAGATCACTGACAACCTGTCAGTGATCTGTGCAGCGGCGCGTTCCTCCTCACAGCCGCTGCTGAGTCAGTGACAGCCAGCAGCTGGCGAAGGCGGGGGCCCGACAGCTGCAGCGTAGGAGGAGGCGGGGCCCACCGGTGACTGAGCAGGAGGTGGGGCCCACCAGCGACTGAGGAGGAGGCGGTGCCTGCCGGGTTGAGGAGGCTGACAGTGGATCGGGTCTGACAGGTAAGAGGTGTGCAGGGGTGTGACCAGTCCACCTGAGTTCTCCAACCCACAGAGACAGCTGATTTTTGTTTCTCTCCCCACCTTTCTCCCACACACATCTCCCCAGCCAGCTCTTAGCAGCCAGGGACGCTCTGGCCTGCATCCTGCCCAGCTCCTGCCAACCAGTGACCAGTTGCCAGCCAGAGCATTCCAGGTTGCTAAGGGCCAGGCAAGGAGATTTGTAATAGCCATACGCATCTCCCCACCCAGCTCATAGTAACCAGAGCAGGTGGGGAGATGTGCATGCGGGTGGGATGCCGGTCAGAGTGTCCCAGGTTGCTAAGAGCTCTTAGCAACCTGGGTTGCTCTGGCCGGCATGCCACCCAGCTCCTGGCAACCAGTGGCGTCACTGGTTGCCACAGGGGTGCAATTTGTTGTAGATACGCCTCTGGGCACATCGGCCGTTTAACACACATAAAAGAGGAGATATTAGGAAGGAGATGGTCACAAATGTGAGTATACTGGTTAATAAAGTACAGGGTTACCCAAAAACAGTAAGAAGTAATATAAAATAGCAAACAAAGCCAGTTGCAGGGAGAAGGGTCAATGCTTTTATTGTTGCATCAAAGTATTATCATCATTATTACTATATTGCATTCACATATAGTTGCTTTGCTACCTTCTGGAGTGCTCTCAATTAAAAGGTGCAATGACATGGAGCTCTGTCACTTTATATCATATGGGTCTACCCATAGTGACGTGTATGGCCTCTGTAGCTTTACATGGATTTCTTGTGGAAACAAAAAGTCAGAATTGAGTTGATGCCACTGATCCCCTCCCACAACCATAGTACATAAAAAATGCACCCACACACACACTGAATGAGTCACGTGTGTACGTCTAGGGTGTGCCATGCCAGACGGACACCAAGACCTAGAAAGACCTTTCTTCCTGATTCGCCTAGTATTTGCTTACTGAAGCATGTGCTTCCTTTTATATGGAGAAAAGGGAACGATCACTGACTGCAAAGATTTTTCAGGCTGTTAAAAATATTTTCAGTTTTTGATTTTAAATGATGTATAAATTAGTTGCAGCACTATAGCCACACTTAGGGGTGAATTTATCAACAATTTGGAGGGTCATTCATCCTGCGAACGCTCGTTCTGTTGAAGGCAAAAAAAGGCAAATGAAGGCAAAAAAACGAACGCTCTTAGTATATTTTTAAAGTCAAATGTAATGTAATATTTTATTATGGCCACTAGATGAGGAGCATAGGAAATAAGTAGTAATCACAGGTGCTCCTCAGCACCATTTAGTGGCCATAATGAGCAAAATACCTCATTATGGCCACTAGATGGAGCTGAGGAGCATAGGAAATAAGTAGGTATCTCCTATGCTCCTCAGCACCATCTAGTGGACATCGTAAGCAAAATACCTCATTATGGCCACTAGATGGAGGTGAGGAGCATAGGAACTAAATACTTATGTCCTATGCTCCCCAGCTCCATCTAGTGGCCATAATGAGGTATTTTAATAATATTACATGCAATACAAAAAGAACGCTTGTTTTTGCCTCCATTCGCACAGAGCGAATGCTCAAAGCGTTTTGCAGGATGAATATCTATGCAAAATGTTTACAACTACACCTCTTTTTTCTTCTAATTTAATGGCAGGGACCTCAAAACGACAAGCGTTGCTAATCAAATTTTGTCATGCAGCTTTGTAAATTAAAGGCGTTGTAAAGTCTCAGCTTATACATTCCTGCTATGACATCAGCTTTGTAATAGGAATACATACTAGAGTTGTTTTTGACAATGTTAGTGATGCCTTCTGTCTGCCCATCACTTTCACCAACTTCCTGGATCCCCAGTGTGCTTTGCATCAATTTCCCTGCTGCTTGATGTAATGCAATCTCCATTTTTCAAGAGTACATATCCCACCATGCATTGCTTCCAGCAAGCATTGATAAGGTTACATTGTTCAGACACTGAGTTGTAGTTCAGACAGCAGGCTCTATGTGAGCGGTGACGCAAGGAAGTGCGTATTCATAGGGCTGAGTGAAATTGCATCAGTGCATTCAGAAAGTGCATCCTATGGGAATCTTCAATAAGTAAGTTTACAAACTTCTAGATGGATCTGGTTAGTAGGAGCGGGATAAAACTTCTGGAAATTCAATATAGAAATACAGATTTTTTTTTTAGTTTTTGACCATAGAGACCTTTTAAAGCAAGAATCTCATTGGCTATTATAGAGATAAAATCCTATTGGTACCATATGCAGAGTAATTGTTTAGCAGCTCCACAAATGCTGTTGAAGTCTGATAGTGTAGCTGTAATCTTCAGCCGGGGTTCCATAGCACGTACTGTATAATAGAAGTGGCCTGCGTGCCGAGCTGGCAGCAGTGTGGTCCTGGAAGCTTTAAGCATCCCGTGAATGCAATGGATGGTGGATACCCCAGGAAGAAGTTGGATGTTTTTGCTATTTCAATGTTTGTTTTCTTCTATTTATTGCCGCTGTTTGTAAGACGGCTTTCTTTAGCCCGTTCCGTAACCTTTGAAGTTTTGGTTACAACATATTTATGCCTCAGATTCTCGAAATCTCTAGGGACGGAAAAGCGGATGTGAACAGAATAAATGTATTGCATATCATTGAGGAACGTCTCCGCTGTACCATCACTTATTTTCATTCTGCAAACACTGACAATGCAACGAGGGCAGGCACCATAGTGAGCCGGAGAGAGCAACAGGTGCGACAGTGCCCACAGACTGGGGCTGAGTTTGATCAGATGCACAGAGCGCATGTTTATGTCGGTAGGTTGTCAGCTCTTCCACTTAATATTGCACATTCATAGGAGCTTTAAAGCAAGCCTGCAGTGGTTATTAAAGAAGAACTATGGCCTCCCATTAAATATGTTGATCCTCTCAGTGCACTCTACTTCATGCAGCTTTCTGTGATGGGTGGCAACGCTGCTGTACTGCTCCTGAATTCAGGAGACTGTACCTGCATGCACTATAGTGGGATGAGAAGACATTGCAGTGGTGTGATTGTCACTGTTGATTCACAAGCCTTTAGCTTGTCAATCAGTTGTGGCCACACTTAGTCCTGTCAACTGCTTTCCTGATTGACAGCACTGCCACTGCTGCTGAAACTCCCCCATTGTGAGCTTCATTGTCTAAGAGGGTAAAAATTAAGAAGGACATGGTTCACCCCTGGGCAGGATTTACCATTAGCCCCTCCATAGAGGGGTGCCGTGCAGATACCTACTCTGCCTAATTCCCAGTGTTGTGTCAAGATACAACACCAGCAATAGCAAGGAGCGTGCATTCTGCACAAAATGCACCCTCCTGCTCCAAGACCAGTGGCGCCTACAGGAACCACCGGCTGTTGCAAACACAGGGGAAGGACCCCAGTGCTGCATAAGGATGCCTTGTAAAATTCCTGTCTGATGGATCGGGTGAGTATTTCTTCTTGATTCCATCCCCTAGAGCAGTGGTGGCGAACCTTGACACTCCAGCTGTTTTGGAACTACAAGTTCCATGAGGCATTGCAAGGCTCTGACAGCCACAGACATAACTCCCAGAGGCAGATGCATGTTGGGATTTGCAGTTTTGGCACAGATGGAGTGCCAAGGTTCGCCACCACTGCCCTAGAGAGAAACAAGCAGTTACCCTTGCAGTACAGGGTAAGCCCCACTGCAAGGGTCAACTATTAAAAACCCTGGAGTTCCTCTTTAAAGTGGATCTGCCTTCAGGCTATGCACATTCAAATGTTTACATATTCTTAGCAATCATTTACTAGGCTTTACAACAAGCCCTGTCTGATCTCTGTAGCTGCTGGCACTGTGGAGTAATTCATTCTTAACTTTACAGCAGTAACACTTGGTAAGGGAAGTGCAGTCTGTAATAGCTGCAGAACAAAACTGCATATCTTTTGGCAGGTAAAACAGTATCTATGTATGAATGTCAACTGTGTGTTTAGCTCTTGGCTGGAATTCACCTTTATGTGGTTCAGCTCATTTAGTAAATAAAAATGCATCTGTAGCCTGCTGGGAGATTACAGTGATTTGAATGTGTTCCTTGTGTTATTCCCGGCTCTCTCGTACACAAGTGATGCTCAGATCTCCTCCATCCCTAGTGGAAATCACATAGCTAATGGCCAGCAATTGTTTTGGAAGGAGGAGTCTGGTAACAATGTTTACTGGGATCTAAGCCTGATCCCGATAGGTGTCCTGGACCTGGCACAGAAGTTTCCCAGGAAAACTTTTGACATCTGAAGGAAGGCACGTTGGCCACATACACCCTTCACTAAACAAACGTGTAATTTAATTAGCTCCTTGCTGAGTAATGCTCTTTGACAATAGATCCCCAAAGGGACTCCGTTTGACACACACGCTGCTGGGCAGAGCAAGGAGGAAGACTGGAGAGGCTGAGCTTGGGGAAACAGGTTTTTTTAGAGGCGTGGGAGATACAGGCTCAGATCACTCTGCCTCAGCTGGATGTGTTCTTGTCTCTTGTAGACCAGCAAACTGACTGCCATCCCGAAGGAACTTTACAGCAGAGGATGAAGGAGAACGAGAAGTACCACGCCACAGCGGACGCGGAGAAAGGCATCCACATCATCAACATCAAGGCCATCGAAGACATTGGCTACATCCAACCTGACAGGCTGGTAAGTCGCGCCGCCAACTTTATGTAGCATATGTCACCGCGCTTGTAGATCGTAATATCAGAGCCCGAGCGCAGCATTTTCTCCAGATGCTTAACAGCCCCTTCGGGATTTCATCCTGTAATAGCTTTAACCCTTTTTTAGGCTGGCAGGCTTGTCCGTGCATTTCCCCCGGGGGGAACCTAGCGATGAGGCTAAAAGTTAAAAGTCTTGAAAAGAGCGTTTCGTATAAAGCAACAAGTCAAGTCTATTAATGTCTGGACTGCTAGAATGTAACGCAAGAATGCTTAGAAAGCATCTCAGTAATTACCATTAGAGAGCTCCAGGTTCTGTCAACATTGAAGTTTAAATGATTATTATTATTAATATTATTATACAGGATTTATATAGCGCCAACAGTTACATAAAAAGTCCCCACATGAGCTGATAACTCTGCAATGGCAGCGGAGCATGCTAGGACCTGTAGTTCCACCACAGCTGGAATGCTATGTTGTCTATCTCTGTATTATTATTATTATCATTATTAATATTATTATACAGGATTTATATAGCGCCAACAGTTACATAAAAAGTCCCCACATGAGCTGATAACTCTGCAATGTCAGCTGAGCATGCTAGGACCTGTAGTTCAACCACAGCTGGAAAGCTATGTTGCCTATCTCTGCATCATGATCATTATTATTCTTATTCTTATTATTCAGGATTTATATAGCACCAGCAGTTAAATAAAAAGTCCCCAAAACAGCTTTTAACTCTGGAATGGCAGTGGAGCATGCTAGGACCTGTAGTTCCACCACAGTTGGAAAGCTATGTTGTCTATCTCTGTATTATTATTATTATTATTATTAATATTGTTGTTATTATTATTCAGAATTTATATAGCGC